TTAATGGTGATTTGTGTCCTTTTTAACAGTCTCTGATCCTCATTCACTGTCAATGAAAAGAGAAGCCAGGGCATTCAGCTGTAAATAATGCCATTGTGTTCTAGGGAAGAAAGTCATACAGGTCTGTACAAATATAAATGTGAGTAAATGATGACATGTTTCATTTTTTTGGGCAAACTATTACTCTAATTACTGAGAAAAGGTTTTTTTTTTTTTTTTAGAAAGTTAATCTGTAACCTTATGAAGTTAAATATTTCAGGCGCAAATAGGACGAAATACACGCCATCATCAGAGTGTCATTCAATATTGAGGTGACGCTTTTAAACAGTGTACGCTTCTATCACTCTAATTCAGTGCTGAACACAAAGTTTGGTTACTTATACAAAACTGACAACTGCATTCTGAACTGAATTTAGCTGCAGTATATACTTGGTCTTTGTGTTCATCACCTGAGATTGAGGGTTTGGTTCAGTACACAACTGTACGACCCCCACTATGTCTAAGTTTCTCCATAGAATGACTGACTACATTTACTAAAATGTGTAATGCATAATAATTATCAACCACAGAGACCTTTCTTTAGTTTGATCAGACTTCCAGTTTTAATTAAGTTTGCAAAATAGTTAGCATTTTTGTTGTTGAGCTGAAATCTGGACGCTGTATGTGTTCATGTAGTAGTAAGGCTGGGTGAAATGACCAAAAAATTATCACGATAACATTTTTTATATCAGTCGATAACAATAATTATCATGATACATTTCAAATCTTTATTTCTTTCAAGTTTAAAGGCAGATTTCTGCTCCATAAGTGAAAGTTATAGAAACCAGACCATTAATTGTGGTTTTAAACTACTCTTTATGGTCAAAACATGACAAACACTTCACGTTTTGGAATACTTTACACTTTTCCAGTAATTTTTTTCTTAACAAAATAATTATTTTAATAGAAACAAAAAATAATGTATTAGTTTTTGCATGTTCTAATGAGTGATATTGTATCAAATTATGAAACAGGTTTGTGTTGCCTGACTTTGACATGTATATTCAGCTCAGTTTGCAGTGCAGGCTGCAATAATAATATATATATATATTTTTTGTCTCACAGAAATGCACATTTGGCTTGAGTTAGGATGCAGATGTAAATGAATGTCCATTATCAAAATTAGTAACATCTGTAAAGATTCTAACTACATTATTTGAATTATTCTGACTGTTTGACTTTTATTAAAATTAACCACTTTTCTCGATCATCATAACCACAGTTAAAACCACACATACAGCACCTCAATACCATGGTAAAAATGTAATGTCTCAGTTTCCCTGAAGGAGGGAACAGAGACGTCACATCGTGACCGACGAATTGGGATCTCGCTTCAAGAGACCAATCTACTGCGAGTGTAACTAAACGAGTTAATGCACATTGGCATGCAATTATTGCATCCAGCTTCCGCTGATCACAGCGTGAGCATAAAAAGTCAGTCGGTGCAATTCATACCAGGTTCTTGCTGAGGAGCCGATGACCCGGCTGCTCAGTGGTGGTACAGCAGCCATGGCGACGGGACGTGACGTGACGTCTCCGTTCCCTCCTTCAGTGAACGAGGGTTACATACGTAACCGAGACGTTCCCGTTCAGTCGGTCACTGCGAGTCCCGTCGTGACTGACGAATTGAGATTCCCTACCAAAGCGCCATGGATGCTGCCCCTTCCATTGCCCTGTGCAAGCCACCTGCACCCCTTTTTGGTGTAGGCCGGGGCTCGCAATAAGAAGACCATTCATCGTTGTCGTAGCACTACCCACTCAGTGAGATTGGATAACACTGAGAAAACGTACCCATTCCACTTGGAACAGGGACGCTGCAGAAGCCCCATCCTTCCCGAAGGAGGTTTTGGAAGCAAATACACATATGAACATCCGTTTAGGTGCATATGGAAAATTGGAGGTGATTGTAACCCTAATGGAATGACAGAAGTCTGCCGGGGAAACATGGGCTCTGAGGCTATACTGTGGACTTTACACATATGGGAACCACTTAGGCCTCTACATATGGAACCCAGCCCTCTACCGGTTCTCACGGATTCATCAAGTGAGGGCCTGGCACCGGACGTTCCGCCACATCTGGCTGCTGAGGGGACGGAGTAGCTCGACAGGGCCTACAGTACGGACACTCTGGAGCAGTTTTAGCAAGCCGACACTAACCGGGGCCTCTCAGTGCCTCTACCCGTTTGAGGTGAGAACACAGGAGGATACCGGCTCCATATGAAGGCTATAGAATCTAGCGAACGTGTTGGGGGTCGTCCAGCCCTCAGCTCTACAGATATCTGTCAGCGCCCAGGAGGATGCAACACTCCTAGTAGAGTGAGCTCGCAACCTGAGTGGGCAGGGCACACCCTGTGCCTGATAAGCCAGGGTGATGGCATCCACAATCCAGTGAGCCATCCTCTGCTTAGAGACGGCCTTCCCCTTCTGCCGGCCTCTGTATCAGACAAAGAGCTGGTCTGAGGACCTAAAGCTTCGTGTCCGGTCTATGTAGCATCTCAAGGCTCAGATGGGACAGAGCAAAGCTAGGGCTGGGTCTGCCTCCTCTGGGGGCAGCGCTTGTAGGCTCACCACCTGATCCCTGAAGGGAGTAGTGGGAACCTTGGGCACATAGCCGGGCCGGGGCCTCAGGATTACCTGGGAGTCAGCCGGCCCAAACTCTAGGCACGAATCGCCGACTGAAAATGCATGCAGGTCCCCTACCCTCTTGATGGAGGTCAGTGCAAGCAGAAGCAGAGTTTATTAAAATAAACTTTAGCTCGACTGACTGCAAAGGCTCAAATGGGCCCTGCTGTAGTGTTTTAAGCACTAGAGACAGGTCCCAAGAGGGTATAGAGGATGATCTCCGAGATGATCATCTTCCCGCCCCCCTAAGGAACCTGATGACCAGATCATGCTTCCCTACGTTGGGGGTCGTCCAGCCCTCAGCTCTACAGATATCTGTCAGCGCCCAGGAGGATGCAACACTCCTAGTAGAGTGAGCTCGCAACCTGAGTGGGCAGGGCACACCCTGTGCCTGATAAGCCAGGGTGATGGCATCCACAATCCAGTGAGCCATCCTCTGCTTAGAGACGGCCTTCCCCTTCTGCCGGCCTCTGTATCAGACAAAGAGCTGGTCTGAGGACCTAAAGCTTCGTGTCCGGTCTATGTAGCATCTCAAGGCTCAGATGGGACAGAGCAAAGCTAGGGCTGGGTCTGCCTCCTCTGGGGGCAGCGCTTGTAGGCTCACCACCTGATCCCTGAAGGGAGTAGTGGGAACCTTGGGCACATAGCCGGGCCGGGGCCTCAGGATTACCTGGGAGTCAGCCGGCCCAAACTCTAGGCACGAATCGCCGACTGAAAATGCATGCAGAGGTCCCCCCCTCTTGATGGAGGTCAGTGCAAGCAGAAGCAGAGTTTTCATTAAAATAAACTTTAGCGCGACTGACTGCAAAGGCTCAAATGGGCCCTGCTGTAGTGTTTTAAGCACTAGAGACAGGTCCCAAGAGGGTATAGAGGATGATCTCCGAGATGATCATCTTCCCACAATGAGAAGATGACTCATCCACAAACGCCACCTCAGCGTGCTACATGCCCAGGCACGTGAGGCAGCGATCGCGACCATCACCCAGCGCCAGGTAACGACCGCATCCAGAAACGCCCTGGTGATACGTTGTCTATAGCAAGACCCACATCATCTTTACAAAGACGTAACGTCAAGTTTGCCACACAATGTCGTCTTTAAAAAGACGCACCCGAAATTGCTCTTTTACGGAAAAAGCTAATTTAGCATGCTGAGACGCACAGGGGAGATGATCACCTGCAACACAAACAGGGGGTAGTGCAGCCTGATGCGTGCAACCCACTCTACACGAGAAACCACCACTGCTGAAGCGCCGTACCACCAACACGAAGAGCTCTCAAAGAACGCGCTGAACTCGTTCTGCCTTCTTTCTCTTAGTAGAGTAGTCAGGAGCAGAACAATGTGATCACTCAGCTGAGTAGCTGAATATGCGCTGCATCTGCTGCCTACTTATACTCACACTGTGATCAGCGGCAGCTGGATGCAATAATCGCATGCCAAAGTGCATTGGCTCATTTAGTTTACACTCGAAGTAGATTGGTCTCTCTAAGCGAGATCCCAATTCGTTGGTCATCCGACGTGATGTCGGGAGTGACCGACTGAAAGGAAACTCTTACGCCTCTTAAAAGTACTCCTTCCTACTCCTAACACTTTTAAGGGTTAAGATACTTTGTGAATAACTTTTATCTTCCCTAAGATATTCTCTTTAACTGTAAGGGGAAATGTCCACTTATCTAAGAATTTTCTCAGAATTTTTTCACTAGGAGCAACACTTTGCACTAAGAGTTTTCATGAAAACGGGCCCAGGTCTGTCAGACAGAAGCCTTTATCTGTCGTCTGTCGTGTCTCTCTGTTTTTATCAGGATTAAAATACATGTTAAGATTCCTGCAATTAGTTTCATTGTGTTTTGCTCTATCTGTTTTGAACACGTTTAAACAACCCATTAGCAAGTTAAAATATTATTAAATAGTATTAAATAAATATTAAACAGAGTATAAAACCCTTAAAATTAAACTCTCAAAAGAAGAGAGACAAGTGTATTTATCAGCAGTGTTAATGTAACATCTGAGAATCTCTCGATCGGATCTGTAACCGTACATTTAGACTGAGTTTAAGAGGACAATGATATTCAACTCACCCTTCACAGTGAGAGAAACAGCAGAACTTGATTGTGATGATTTTGGTCTTCCATCTCTCTGTCCTCTACACCAGTACTGATCCTGATCAGACTCAGTAGCTCCTCTGATAGTGAGAGTGTCTCTGTTTACAGTGTAACGCTCAGACGCCTGTAACATTACACTGTCTGTGCCTTTATACCACTCATATCTCCAGTTACTGTAAGACTCAATCACACACTTCAGATTGACTGTCTCTCCAGTGAATACAGGACTGTCTGGAGTTACAGTCAGTGTAGATCTGGGTAAATCTGTGAAGAAAAAACAAAGTGACTCATCAATAAAAAATAAAAAAAAATTGAAAATGTGTTAAAACTCGATAGTTCATGCAATATTTGATGTCATATTTCATAATGTTTGTTGTGTTTTGGTTTTGTCCTGTCATTAGTTCTCTGATCTCAGTGTTTTCTGGAGGCTCTGGCTCTGTCATGTCCTCAGACAAACACCTCTGACTCATCATAGAAAGCAGAATGAAGCTCCTGCTGAAGAAGAGCTGAAGACCTCCAACTACAACCTCATATGAGGAGCAACTGAATCTCAATCAACTTCAACAGACTATCTGAAGACTTCATGAACTCATTTAACATCATTATCTGTAAGTCTCTTCATTCTTTCTGACTTCAGGACAAAACTCATCTGTATTGAACTCTTTCACTAATGCAGGGCCGGTTCTAGACATTAGGAGGCCCTAGGCAAAATTCATGTTGAATGCCCCCCCACCCCCAATAAAAAGAACTTGAAATATGATTCCTAACCTTTTTATTTATACAACATTTAACTTTAATTTTGTATGTTTTACTTATACAGTACAAACATATGGAAACTACAATTTTGTTTTTGAAAGAAGTCTCATATGCTCATCAAGCCTGGATTTAGCCTATTTGATCAAAAATACAGAAAAAAGCAATAATATTGTGAAATATTATTACAATATAAAATAATGGTTCCCTTTCATTGGAACTTCGAACTGCGTCCTCTAGGGGTCGCTATGGGGAACGCCTCGTCGTGACCCGTGTCTGAAGCATACATTGAAAAAACACCAACTCGTTGGCCGGCGACAGCCATGACGTCACTACCGGTGCGACT